CTTCTTTACATTTACTATATCTTTAATGCAGCATTCTTCTATGTACCCTCTATTCTTCTTTGATCCTAAAGAAACAGGTACTAATTACACACTGCAAGCACATATTGCTTTGTTTTGTTAAATGGACTCTTGCAAACACGCAAATTATTTCTGGTGCAGAATGGAGTGCAAAGAAAGTTTTCTAATGCATAGTTAAATTTGCTTCAACTCTAGCATGTGATATTTGCTTTTTAGAGAATACCTGAAGAGCTATATCCTCTCTGCCATACAATATCACATTTTGTTTCCAAAGTAAGCTTTGTTTGCCTTTGTTTCAAGAAGTATTATAGGAAGAAGAACAACATCAGTGACCCAACTAATCTATCAGTTTGACAAATATGGTATTTACAGACAATTTCAAAATATGCTTATACATTTTTGCTGAAACAAAAAAGCCACTTAAGCTTTCCACTAGAATAAAGTCCTGGCATGAAGTCATTCAATGAGACTTCCTCCCACAAAAAAGTCAAAGTTTCCTCAAATTCATTTGTAGAATATAGCAGTAAATTGTATAACCTAGAAACATTGTACATTAGACCAAAAAACCACCCAAGAATCAATTACAGTAAATTGAGTCACAATACCCCCAAGAATCAATTCGCCTGTCATAATTTTATCTACTGACATTATTCTGGCATCTTGTCATTCAGCACAATTATGGTACAGAGGAGGAAAGCTTCAATTAAGTGTTGCAAAGGTACAGCCAGTTCCTGCTCCTAAGAAACAGCTTCCAAGTTACGCCCTTAAAAAGTCTTGTAAAAACTGGGCTGAGTATAATTTGAAAATCAAAGAACAATCTCCCAGACCTCAAAAGCAAGGATATTACATTTAGACCTTAGAAGGTAAGTCCCTTCACACACATTGATGCCCGTATGCGTGTCAGAGCATAGACGTGACCTTCAGGGTTCATTCACAATGTAATATGGAAGGAACTAGGTGCAGAACTCCCTGTAAATTTAACAGGACCTAAGACAGCAATGCCCCTTCATACCACTGAATTATTAAATATCCCATGTATTTTGTGTTAAAAATATCCATTTTGTATTGAGAAAGCAAATACTGAAATAGAAACAACTTTTAGCACAACAGATGTATTTACTCACAGCATGCAAGGTTTGCTTTTATGTATTTGAGCGGCTAACTGCCACTAAACAGCCCTTAAGTATTTACAAGTTCAAAATTACAATCTTCACATAAGTAGCAATTGCTTACAAAAAGTTCAGGACACTCGCTGGGAAATAAGAAATGGAGTAAAAAAAAATACCAAAAGCAGTAATAAAAACTAGTATCGAAGGAAAACGCGATAGCTTTTAAACCCTAGGCAATTTAACACTGTTCTGGTAAAAAAAAAAAAGCCACATATCACATTTGGAGTTTCCATTTTGAAAGAAATGCAATTTACAAGTAAATAAACAAAATACAACTCCCTTTGGTTTGCCAATTTACCTTAAAATACCTTCTCCACCTCCCTCGTTCCCTCCCACCTCTCCCCCCAGTTTGCAAGGTAAGTGGTAAGGCAAACGTGATGAGGGGCTGAGGAGCTTCATAGGTGATCACACAGAAGAAAGACAGTTCAACCCCACTTCATAGTACGGGAAGCAAAAGTAATAGTTTGGTTTTTTTTTTAAATAAACACGAAACTTTTTTCAAAATAATAGATTTTAAAACTTACCCAAGATGTAATGTATATGTTAGTCCTGTTCGAGGGCCAGGTCAGAAGAAAATCCTGCTCCTATGTTTAAGGTAATCTAAAACTAAATTGAGTCTCTTCAGCCTCTTGGAAAACAGAATTTTGTGCCAAATTACACTCTTCATGGCTGTTAGTTTCAGGTTTTATTTCATACAGTAATAAAACCCCACAAATTAACTTGCAGCTTTTTGTAATACACACATATCTGTATCTGCTTCTATAGAGCAGTAATATTTTTCTCTTTAGGACTATACAACCTGGAACAGAGGAAGTTCACTAGCAGTGACATACAAATATGTTTTTGCACTCCTTCATGAAATGTTTCAAGTGCACTGTCCCTCTGAAAAGACATTTAACTACCTTTTAAAGCTATAAGAGATTTATTTATAAATAATTTGGTACCAGCTGATGCTCACATTAACATTTTTAATGTTCAACTCTAGAAATAGCTTCGGGCAAAGAAAGTGCTCCACTTTTACCTGCTGTTTTGTTATGCCTGATTTGAAGGAATCTTAAGCTTATTATTAAACAAAAATATACTAAAATACAAATATTTAAGTTGGATTTTAAAATTTCTGTATTTCTGCTATTCTTTATAAGAGTGTCCATATTGCATGATATTTTGTGCTGAACTGCCCTCTTGAGCCTAGCCCCTTATAAAACATGAAAATAGAATAGTAAAACTTTTTTTATGTAAACTTCAGTAATGTAGTTGCAGTCTTAGAGATAGGGTTGTAAAGGTGCTGTACAGACATTCTGATATACATTAGACCGTGGTACATGGAACATGACATTTTGAAGTTACCCAATGTAATGTATAAAAATATAAAATATGAGTAATAGTAGAATAAGCTACAGTGCAATTTTCCTTAGCCTGTTGAATGCCCTACCTGCATACGATGTTTCCACCCATTCTAGATCTTCCACAGTAGAATTTATGTTCCATTAATAGTACAACAGAGCAAGCAACAACAGCTAGAAAAGACAGCTTTAAGAACACTCTTATGCTGTAAACTTGAAGTTCCTACAAGTCAAATACGTACCTTCAAAAAATTAGTTTTGTTCATTTGCCTCTTCTGTGCTAGAATTTTAAAATTTTTCACTATAAACTGTAAAGCTAGGATATTTAAGCAGAATATGCCCTAAATTTCAGAGAAAGTTATCCTGTTATTTTCACTGGTCCTCAGACTAATTTAACATAATTGGAACTATATCACTTGCTCAGGGCTTTCAGAGTAAGGCATTTTGTGTACATTCCCTGCAGCTATTTATTTAATGACTATCTTTGTGTGTAAAGCCAAGCCACTGGAAATCCCTCCTTCAAAATCTTGAAAACCAATTTACCTTTTACTGCACATTAAGCATTAAACCGCAAAAGAAGAACAGATAAAAAATCAAATCCAGAAGTATGCACTGAAACAAGCTAACCATTTTCTACTAGGTAAGGTCTTTTCAACTACAAGAGTTGTTTAACGCTATCAGTTCTGAATACATCAGTTTGAATACATTCATAGCAACGCATTCTGAATGGACTGAAGAAATTAATCAGAAAAGTTAGCTTTTCACATCTTCTAATGACAGCGTACCGTAAGTTTGAGTGCTGTGAGGAAAGAGATACGAAGTTCATTTTGTTAATTTACATATTAACAGTTTGGAGGTACGAGCTCCAATACAAAAAGAACTTCCCATTCCAAATATTGTTTACAAAGCTTATGGTATTTGTATTCTATCTAATCGCTCTACTTCCCAACCAAATTATGTTTTCCTGAATAAAATGTACAACACAAAACTAAGTAATTCATGTCTGGCCAGACAATGAGACAGCTCTTGTTGCAATATGACAGCTTCCTGACATGGAAAGAACAGATTAGGCAACACATCAACACAGACAAAATGAAAGACACAAGAGACACATGAAGTTACAGTTGAATGGTCACATTCTACTCATCACTGGGAAAAGGATCATGAAAAGCTGAAAAGTGCATAATAATTTAGTAAAATTTAGATTTGCACAAACCGTTTCTGCATTGACCATACTGTCTTAACTGCTCATAATCTGCCTATCAGAACGATTAAAAAATTAATTTGATCATAATATTGTCTTACAGCTATCTAAATTGGGTAAAAGTTATTAACACCTTTAAATATAGTACATTAATACATAAAAATACATATATTTTTTCTAGAATAAGGATTATATTTTCTAAGCAAATATCTTAAAACAATGGCCCCTCTAAATTAGTTTGGAATAATAAGTGAGGCCCATTTCTTTGCAGAATGGGGTGTTTTTATTGTTTATATGTTTAGATAGTTAATTTTTAATACCTGTCCACTGTATAAACAATCTCCAGAAAAATATATCCTCTTCCAGTACTTACAATACACATTAAAAATACTTACAAAAGGGATTATTGTCCATTTACAACATCTTGCGCTTAAGGACACAAACCTTGGGTCATTTCCTTTATGCAATTTTGGTCAGGCTAAACTGAATATTCCGGTTTACTTGAGCCATGCCAGCAATGTGGACAATCTCACATTTAAAAGTAACTGCCTAATTATGTAGGATTTCAAATAAAATTACGCATTTTTATATCACAGTATATATGGCATTTCTTAATTTAATAACAGAAAGGCACGGTTATTAAACCATAAAATACAGTACCTGAATCATACATACTCTAGTAATATCTGCCAATGACAAACCAGACATTTTACTCTGTAGAGGGGGCTAAAGAAAAAGGCTTCAGTTTGGTTTTTTAGAAAAATTCAACCTCATTACAAGTTTGGTCCATTAGAAATGCCTATTAGCTGAAACATCTTGAAGCAGGACTTCAGGAAAGAATAGAGGAAAGCAAATTTAGCAATCTATGGTCCAACAACTTGAATAAATTACTAGGAAATGGCAAACAGATCATGAATGGAGCTTTCTGATTAGCTGTCAGACATACCTGTTAAAATGTCAAGGTATGCAGGTACAGTATGACAGACATTCCAGATACATTCATTGCATCACACACACACAGAGACTTGGTTACAGCAATAAGTCTAGACATAGCATTTATAGAGTTCAGCACTTCTCGTGGACTTCTGGCCCCATACCATCCATCCAAAGACATGCGGAGCTCTTTAAATGCTTTGCCTCCTATGTATTGCTGTTAAAGTGAAGACCCTGCTAAAGCCAAGTTCGCTGGCCTTCCCTTAGCAAACTAGTGCACCTCTTCAAAAAGCAACTAGCTCTGTTCTTCCTATTTAAAGTGATAAAATTGCATCAAGAAAGACCAATAAAATGAAAGACGCAAGGAACAATAAACATGAGGGAGAACCCAACCATTCCATACGTTATATAGCGATAGGGAAGCTCAACTTCCATGCGTTGTCTTGCTTTCCGTACATCGTCATGTGGTATGCGAAATATTTTACATGCCAGTGGAATAGTGGCTTTTTTCATCGCTACTCTTGTTAACAACAGAATTATTACTCCAATCAACAACCGCAATATGGCTCTTCCAAACACAGTCACGGTGAGGGAGGAAAGAGATAAAGGTAATGTATGGGGAGGAGGATCTAGGTTTAGACCCATTATGTAGTTAACGTGAGAGCCACAGGCTACTCCAGCACCACAGCCCAGTATCTGAGCTGTGTCTCCTCGCGATGTGCTCCAGGTGTCCAGGGTAAAAGAGAAGATGCCCAGCGCTAAATGGAGACTGATGATAATTAAGGGTGCATATTTGTAAGTTAAGTTGAAGTTATCAATCAGGTCCACAAATGGATGGAAGACAACCAAGATAAGAATAGCGTACAGAAATCCAGCAATAACATCCTGTTGAAGAGAGAGAAAGATACGGTTTCAGTGTACTAACTATTTCAAAAAATAATTTAAGTTACATTAGCAAGATGACAAGCCTAGTTGCTCTGTTGCTAAAAGTGACTTGTGGATTCCCATCCTCTCTCATTTACTATACAAGATTAAATCTTTTTTTTTATGTTAAAGATACAGTAAGGACTTGGATTTGATCACCTATTAATAGGACACTTGCATATGATCAGATCATGAATGATCATGATCAAATGATCCATGACCAAAGTTGTAGATCTATAGACTTTTTAGTAGGGCCTGAAGCAACAGGACAAGGGATAACTAAAAGAGGGTAGATTCGGACTAGATTCATAAGGAAGACACTTTTTACGATGAGGGTGGTGAAACACTGGAAGAGGTTGCCCAAAGAGGTGGTAGATGCCCCATCCCTGGAATTATTCAAGGTCAGGCTGGACAGGGCAACCTGATCTAGTTGAAGATGTCCCTGCGCTCTGCAGGGGGGATTGGACTAGATGACCTTTAAAGATCCCTTCCAACCCAAACCACTGTATGATTCTATCAGCTGGCTACAACTGTTCTTGTCCAGGACTGGGGCATTCCAACCTGTAGTCAGCACAAAGCTAGCCCAGCTAAGTGATTTCTGACAACTTAGTTTGCTGGAACAGCTCAACACTGGATCTAAGTGCCTGTGTGCCAATACGCAGGCACACAGGCAGCAACAGCTGGTAAGGCAGTCGAGGACCACTGCAGCTAGGCAGTAGAGCAGCTTAAGACTTTCCACTCCAGCTTTAGAATTAACAATACTGCAAGAATGGAGAACTGTTTCCAACTGTTAAAGGAGAAGAAGAGGTAATTTCTGTGGCTTCATACTTGATTTTCAGCTTTATCATTGTTTAAAAAATATCTTTTCTTAATTAAAAGGTCACAATTTTTTAACTTGGCATTAAATTTCAGTTGCTGTTGATTAATCACTCAGTTGCACAGAATTATCTGCAACTTTTGTTACCATTAGTTGTTAAGGAAGAATTAACAGAATCATAGAATGGTTTGGGTTGGAAGGGACCTCAAAGACCATCTAGTTCCAGCCCCTCTGCCATGGGCAGGCACACCTCCCACTCACCCAGGTTGCTCAAGCCTCATCCAGCCTGGCCTTGAACACCTCCAGGGATGGGGCATCCACAACTTCAAATTAATAGAAAGCTTTTGAGAAATCCAAGCACTAGAAAACACATTCCCTTCATTCACATGCTTTTCAAGTCTTCCATATGAGCCAGGAGGTGGGTCTTTCATCAGCAGTATCTGTATTGTTCTGTCTTCAATAAATCATTTTTATTCATGTGTCCACTAACTGAATGCTTGATAAAAGCGAATACAATACCGATAAGAAAATTAATTGAAAGCTTTTGAGAAATCCAAGCACTAGAAAACACATTCCCTTCATTCACATGCTTTTCAAGTCTTCCATATGAGCCAGGAGGTGGGTCTTTCATCAGCAGTATCTGTATTGTTCTGTCTTCAATAAATCATTTTTATTCATGTGTCCACTAACTGAATGCTTGATAAAAGCGAATACAATACCGATAAGAAAGTCAGACTTGCTCATTTCAGAAGCAACCACAACTTTCTGCCATATTTGCCACCCATATAGGCAACACATGGTTAATTGTATTCAGTCAAACACTATAGAGGATTCAGATATGAACCTGCT